ATATTATAAATTTCTTATTTTGTGTTTACTTTGATACTTATTTTATGAGCTTAGTACTTTATGATTGTGAGTAGAAATACTTATAATTAAATGTATAATATTTTCAATTAAATATAGAAATAGTTTCAGTTGATTTGCTATATACCTTTATGAGCATTGGTGTTGCTGAGTAGCATAATGTATGATGAAAAGTATGCGGCCAATTGATTAATGTTGTTAATATTTTGAGCCTTTAATTGATGAAAGTTGTTAAAGTAGTTCAAAAGGTTTTAATCAATGTTGATCGCATAAATTGAGTGTATAATGTTTGCATGAGATTTGAAGTTCATAATATTGTATCCATTGATTTGATAGTTGACCAAGTGTTTTCTAGAATGTTGTAGCATGAACTGGTGTTTTTCCTTATTGATTTTATTATCCTCTTTTTAGCATCTTTTATACTTGATAAATCTTTTTTTTACAAACTCTAATGATAACACTCTACTCCCTATGGGTTCGACATCTGTAAATTGCTACCACTTTAATACTTGAGTGATAAGTATACTTCCATTTAATGCTATAGCGTTTTACGTAGCATCAAGTTTTTGGCGTTGTTGTCGGGAGCATCAGTTTGATTTAGAGATTTCTTGATTTTTCTTATCTGTTTGTTTTATTTTATAGGTATTTTTAGTTTCTGTTTTTACTAGTGTATGCCCCGAAGTGACAAAGAATTAGAGCCATTTGACTCGGAGATTGAAAGAACTTTTAGGAGACGTCGCTGGGAAACTGCTATAGCTAGACGAGGGAATAGTATTTAACCCCTCTGCATAATGGAGAAAATGATGGGATGCAACTGGCATCAGAGCTAGGCAACCATATCAAAACTTATATTATCGTAATCTCCATATTCATTAGCATGTGGTGCCGACATTGGATGATCTACATCCGGGCATTGTGAGACTAGTTATTAATGTTGCGAATTTCGAATTAAAGCCAATTATATTCCAAATGCTACAATCTATGAGACAGTATGTAGGATCTATTTCTGAATATCCTAGGGCTCATTTGAGAGCATTTATGGAGGTTTATGATTCTTTTATTCAGCAAGGTGTTCTGGAGGAGGCACTGAAGCTGAAATTATTTCCTTATTCACTGCATGACAAATCACGAGTTTGGTTGAGTTCACTACCACCAGGTGCTATAGAATCCTGGAATGAATTAGCACAAAAATTCTTGTTGTGGTTTAACCCACCGAATATGATTGCTAAGCTTTGAAATAATTTAACTTAATTCAAGCATTTGGAAGATGAAAGTTTGTTTGAAGCATGGGAAATATTTAAAGAATTGATGTGGAAGTGTCATATGCATGGATTTCCACATTGGACCCAAATGAAGATGTTTTATAATGGATTAAATATACACAGTCGAATGGTGGTGGATGCTTAAGCAAATGGAACTTTGCTCGATAAGACATACAATGAAGCATATGATATCCTTGAAAGAATCTCCACTAATGATTGACAATATCCTAATACACGCAATAGATTCTGAAGCTTTCAACTCTATGACATCTCAGATTTCAGCATTGACTGAAATGATGAAGAAATTACACAAATCAGGAGGAATGTATCAAATAAAAATTTTGATGAATGCCTCCAAAATCTAGAGTATATCTATTATGTGCGAAATTATCAAAGGAATGATAATGCTTCTGGCAATACATACAATGCAAATTTCATAATTCATCTCATTTCTTGGAGAATTCATAATATTGCCAATCCACAACATCATCAATAATTAAATGACCAGCCACAAACACAATAATATGTTTCTCAGCCACAACAAAGGAAGAATTACCAAGGTTAATCTTTAAACCAAACTTCAACTTTAACACCTTTTGAAGCTGTGATGAAAGAATATATGGTGAGCTAATCTACCTCATTAAGGGCTATAGAAAATCATATGGGACAAATGACTAATGCTTTAAATACTCAATTGCAAGGAACCCAAAACCCTGTTCATGTTTATGGAGGATGTTTATGATGATATGTGACACTTCAACTCAATCAATATGATTTTATATAAAATTAATGTGTTTCATATTTTATTATTGTGCACATATAATTTACATAAATCGATCTATAATAAAAAATTTATGACCATGATATATATATGAATAATATCATGGGATTATAAGATAGTATATGTTTAAATTTTTTTAGCCATTGATATTAACAAACATAGACATGTAGACACAACTGCTTAAACCCAAAACCTCTATGAAGAACACCACTCCTTTTAATTACTAAGATCACTTGGTGAGTCAGTGGCCATGATATATTGTGAAAATATTATATTGGGTTGTATTGTACCCAAAAAAATATATTGGGTTGTAATGTTGTAGCATATGGAAGGGAGCATGTGACTTAAACTATATGCATTGATCAAAACTCACATTTGCAATTTACTATTGTATGATTATTCTAATGCATGTTATAGTAAAACATTTTGTTTTGTTTGTTAAATGTTGTGTTATTAAAGTTCAAAGTTCATGTTCTATTGTATTAGCTTAAATGGGAGAATATAAGATTTTAACCCTAAATTTATGGACCAAATCAAGACTAAAATAATGTCTTTCAGTTTAAGATAATTAGGTTATTTAACTTAATATTAAATTAAATCATATACATTCATTCAGTTACTTAATAGACATATTAAATTAAAATTAGATCCATATAAACTAATCCTCTCCCCCTATTTTACACATTAAATTAACAAAAGAACTTATAAACACCGCTACGAGTTTATGTAACAAAAGGGAGAAAATAAGAAATTAATTTATTCTTGAATTTTTAATGATTATTCTTAATTTTATATTAAATATGAAAGTCGTATTTTTCAAATATCTTATAGATTTATAGGAGTAACTAATTTTAATCAAAATAGAAAATATCTCAAATTACAATAAAAATTTAAAATCACAAACGTAAATTAAGTATATAATTAGGAAAATTTCTTGTGGTCATTGAAACAAAACTAACAACTTAAGATCACATAAGGACCGTACAAAGAAATATTAAATTTAACTAAGAAACTCAAACAAAGATAGATACAAGTAGATTTGATCGCATCGGCAAAAGAACCACAAAAGATGATCAAACTATTGAAAGACCATTGACAAATCGCAAATCAGACTCAAGCGATATGAAAAGCTATTCACGAACACAAATCGAGTATCCAAATTCAATCTGAGGGTCCAAAGCATGGAAGATCAACAAGATATCAGATAAATTAAAAAAGGCCAATGAACCAAAAAGCATAAGAAAACATGTTATGAAGGCAGATGAAAACGTGTAACACAAGCAGACTTATTGAAAATAAAAAAAAAACAAAAGAAAATAAATATATGATATAGAGAAGAAAAAGACAATAAATAATACCGGCGGTCAGCAACCAATATTAAAGTTGGTGTCGCCACCGATCAACAAAGACGAAAAAGAAAAGAGATAAGTGACACACTAATAATAAAAAAACTAGGTCTTTTTTTTCTAAATTACTAAGTTTATGGTTTAACGATTGTTGATTATCTAACGTTTTCTTAAAATAGTTTAGGGTGATTATTGATTATAAAATAATATTTGTTTAATTTTTTTAAGTTATTGACAACACACATATATCCTATAAAACGAATTGTTCGGATATTATTTTGATATACTATTTCTTTTTACCACTTAGGTCTTTTAATAAGTTCGTTGATTATATCATATTAAATTTTGATTTTTTTAGTTGAATTTTTGAATTTATTTTAGCCATTTATGAAACATTTAACTATGTAAATATCAAACTCATCAAGTGATCCCAATAATAAAAGAGAATGTTGATCTCCATATAGGTTTTGAATTCGAGTAACGAGGTTTGCAAGATCTATACATGTTGTGAACAAATTTTAAAAAAATTCTAAAATATATACACCTAATAGTCATATGCAAAGATCGGAATGTGAGGGTATCTTTACCATACTTTTACCTAAAAAATAACCGCAAAGTCCAAAATAAATAGAAAAGGCAAAATGACAAAGACAAAAACCTTACAAAAGGATTTAACGTGTGGGACACAATTATTTGAAGCCATTTTCATAGCTGTTGAACAACTCTTCCAGATTTCAAAATCAAATAAAAATACAGACAAGTTCCAATTTGAATACCCAAAGTTGTGCAATAGATTTGCCATACCTGGGAGTTCAAATCAGATATATACAAATTACTTAAATAAATCATGTGAACAAGCTATTTTACTTGGGATTTCTTTTGTTTCACCTAATAACTTGTACGTTTTCACCTCTTTTTTTTAATTCATTTGATTCTTAAAAAATAAAAATATATAATTACAAAAATCATTTTTAAATAAAAGTTATTCATAATTTTAATCGCTTATATGTGTTTTATAAATAAAATATATCATTTGTTATGATAATATGATTATCAGCTTAACCATCAATAATTTTAATAGATAATAATTTGTTTTAAAATCATTCTTAATAATATATATTTTAAACTCTCACCTGCATGAGAAATTGTAGCATTTTAATTAGAGGAATTATAGGGGTGGGTTTCGTAGGTATCGTTCTCACTTCAAATCTAATTAAATGAAGATAGGTATATGTTCTTATAGATGGTGGGATGGGAATGAAGATAAAAATTATATTGTCGTTTGAGATTTTAGGATCATATTTTATTATATCCTGGTTAATATGTTAATGTAAGCATAATTTTTAACAAAAAAAAACTAGTTTGAAACATATGAATAATTAGATGACCATTTTATAATGGTACTCAATAAAACAATACCTTATAATCAATGGACCATTTTATAACTTATAATAATTTAAAGATTCAACGAACCAGTTCCCTATAATTGATAGACTATTTGTGTACTTTACCCAATTTTAGACATGTGTAGTCTTGTACACTATAAAACGATGTCGCTGAACGCCATCTTCCCAACCACGCATTGTTTCTTATTTATTTTTATTTTGAAAAGTCGCAAGTGAGATTTCAGAAAATAGAAGCTTTGTAGAAAAGAAGCAGAAGAAACTAACGGAAGGAGAGCGAACCAAAGTAAGGAAGAAACAGTGGTTGATCGCCAGCCCTAGAAGGTTAGGACAAGGGTTTTCCGGTCCTCGCAACGCAATTTGTATTTTCCAGAGGAAACTTCTCCCCCTTTGATTCGATTGTTCTTCGTTGAGGTACGGACGTGGAAGTTCTTTTTGAAATAATTTTCTAAGTTATAGTTTGATCTGAGTTTTTTCTGATCTATTTTGTTTCCGAGAAAGGCAATAATAAGTTTTGGATGCCTTGGCAGTCTTGTTTTATTGTTTTCTCAAAAGGTTCTGAATCATGGTGGTGGCCATATGAGATCTAATCTTATCTCCCATATTCTCAGCAAATAATTGCAGTTTAAGTTGTCGTTTCTGTTTTTGTTTTCGATTGCTTATTTTTATTGTAATTTTCTTAGGAAATGGAGAAAGTGAAAAGATTGTTTGGAGAATGTTCCGTTCTGTATTTGAAACTTATAGCAAACTTGATACATGTTCATGAAACGTTTACTATTTCCTTATTTTTAAATCGGGTTTTCGTTGTTTAAAGTTTTAAAAGCCTGTTCCTTTTTTTTTGCGGTTCCTTCTCGGTTTTGCGACTATTTTCTTTGTCACTGATTTATGTTTATTTTTTGGACTGAGCACACTCTCTGTTTAAGTACTCTTATTTTAGCATATTAGATCTTTAGAAATTAAAAACTCTGACATGTGTGTGTATATATTATTTAGCATTTCAAAATTTCTTTTTTGGGAAAAAGGTGGAACCTTCTTTTAAAATGTTGAATATTTGATTTTCTGAATAGTCAAAATATGAAGATTTATGTGCTTATCTTTATTATTGGTGCATTGTTTGGAAATGTTCTGATCCTTTAATATGTGATACAGTTGGCTCATGCGCCGGCTGCTTGTCTAAAAAGCTTGCATTTTGCGAAAAGAAGGGATTTCGACGGAAATTAGTTTTTTTTTATTATTTATAAAACCATGGTTGCCACTGCTGCTACGTCAGTGTTTATTCCAGTCACTTCTTCTCCAGACTCCTCTGAATCGAAAAACAAGAAGCTTGGAGGTGGATCTACTAGGCTTGAAAGCTTCAAGTCGAAACCATTGGCTTCTTCTGCAAGTTTGCAAGTTAAGGCAAATGCTCAAGGCCATAAAAATATAAATGGTTCCACTGTTGTGACGAGTCCTGTGGAAAGTTTCAAGAACGATGATGGTTTGAGTTCTCCTCCTCCCAGAACATTTATCAACCAGTTGCCTGATTGGAGCATGCTTCTTGCTGCTATCACAACCATGTTCTTGGCTGCCGAGAAGCAGTGGATGATGCTTGATTGGAAGCCTAGGCGGCCTGACATGGTCATTGATCCATTTGGCATAGGGAAGATTGTTCAGGATGGTCTTGTTTACAGCCAGAACTTCTCGATTAGATCATATGAGATAGGTGCTGATCGAACAGCTTCTATAGAGACGCTGATGAATCATTTACAGGTAGAATTATAGTTATTTGGCTAGAATGTTTGAGCAACTAACATTGATAAGCAAAATTTAAATTTAAATTTATTGATTTATTTATTCTTTTATGTAGATATATTGCATAAGCCTGGATTTAGTTAACATCTCTTTTTTTTGGCAGGAAACAGCTATAAATCATTGTAGAAGTGCTGGACTGCTTGGAGAAGGTTTTGGTGCAACACCTGAGATGTGCAAGAAGAACCTCATATGGGTTGTCACCCGGATGCAAGTTGTGATTGATTGCTATCCTACTTGGTAAGATGTACTTTCATGCACATGATTTGCTCTTATAGTAACAATTCATGATAAGCCACTTTTGTTTTACCCATATGGTTGCAATTTTATAGGGTTGTGATGCCATGTTGATACAGGTTGCAATACAATGTCATTAAGGCTTTGTTTGGCATGAAGGATAAGGGGGTGAGTATGGAAAATTTGTTAATCAAATGGTTAAGATTCATAATCACTTTGCTACTTTGTAGCTTAACCATTAGATTAATAAAGTTTCTATCCCCACTTCTTACACTTCATACTAAGGAAAGCCTAATGCATCTAGCATGTGTTCTGTCACTAAATAGTTTAGTTCTTGAATTCTGGCAATATATATACTCTTGTGGACTGATTTGTTCCATAGGACTATATTCAATGATGTGAATGTTAATATTCTATATTATGCTAATAATCTGTGTTACATCTCACCTGCTCATGTTTGTTCCATTAAAATGTGAATCTGTGTTTTTGTTTAATCTAAAAGGTCGAGGGATGAGTTGAAGACAATTGAATCAAGCCACCAGCAATGAATAAGAGAAGGGAGATAAGCCTGATACACTTCTTTATTTAATGAGACCCCCTATTTGAATTATGAAGAATGGAACCTTAGTTTGTCATTTTTGTTAATGTTAATACTTTCCATCTAATTTGTGATTTAGGTACCCATGCACTAACTTGCTTTAAGCTCTGGTTATAAAGGTTAATATTCACTTAATTTGGCTATAGTATTGTCACTTCACTGGTGTTACTTGGTATTGGGGCTTGTAAAAAATGTAATCATGAAAAGATAGGCTAAAATAGTTATTGTCAGCAAGGTATATGCTTGTTTATCCCAGCACAGTCTCTTGAGCAATTGAATTTTATTTGGCATTATTCTTTCACATATGTCGCAAAAATTATTTGTTCTGAATGTACTGGGAGTGTTTTGAATTTTTTATCATGAACAATGAACTTATTTACGCCTGTTTTGCAGGGGTGATGTTGTTCAAGTAGACACTTGGGCCAGTGCATCTGGGAAGAATGGGATGCGAAGAGATTGGCTTGTCAGCAATAGTGAAACTGGTGAAATTTTAACAAGAGCCACGAGGTGAGGCATTCTTTATAACAGGACCACGACCATTTGTATTTTTTGTCTGTCGCAATCTGTTGTTTTGTGCCACAAATTTGTTCTTCTCACAAGAATACACTAGGAGTAGCCAAAATCTGAAACCATTGAACTGTAAAATATTTCAAAGTTTGTTTTGCTAGCATTTAATACGTTTTCAGTAGATACATTGAACGACCCCCCATATTTTTGGTTTGGTTGCACATTCTTCAATGGTGTTTCATGAGCCACTAATCTGGGTCCTCTCTATTTTGGTTTTGGTGATCTGCAGTGTGTGGGTGATGATGAATAAGCTGACTAGAAGATTATCTAAAATTCCAGAAGAGGTTCGGGGAGAAATAGAACCTTTCTTTGTGAGTTCTGATCCTGTTCTGGCTGAGGATAGCCAGAAACTGGTGAAACTTGATGACAGCACAGCTGAATATGTCTGCAAAGGTCTAACTGTAAGTCCCTGCTGACCGCCTGATCCATCTCTCTTCTATATAGTTAGCAATGGCAGTTGGCACTTAAGGTTATCTTTCTGTTTAAATTTTGCTTTCCTGATAAAATTTATTTCTAATTTGCAGCCTAAATGGAGTGACTTGGATGTCAACCAGCATGTGAATAATGTGAAGTACATTGGCTGGATCCTTGAGGTAGACTCCCTGCAGCTATATTTTAAGGATTTTCTTTTGAACCCGCTCCCTCTTTTCTCTTCCTGTCCGAACCAAATTCATAACCAATTAGTTTCATATACCTTAATCTTTACCTGTGATGCTGAGCTGAAGCTTGCTGACCAGACTTAACTAATTTACCTTGGCTTCTGTTTTATTCAGGAAAGCATGGAAATTCGTGGCCGTAAATTTAGGAAAATTTTCTTTAGTATTGCATTCCTGAGAAGTGTTTAAAGTTGCAGTGACTGATAAAAACAATCATGTGCTGACGACATTGCTTGGCTAGTTCTTATTATCAATATCCCCAATTTCGATTGAAGTTTTCTTGATATCAATAGCTAATATGAAATTGCAATTTGCTTTTTCTTCAGATCTTCACGTATTAAGTCATTTGTACGTTTGGTGTTTACATGCATTTTAACTGGAATGTAATACGTGCAGAGTGCTCCATTGCCAATCTTGGAGAGTCACGAGCTTTGTGCCATGACACTGGAGTATAGGAGGGAGTGCGGGAGGGACAGTGTGCTGCAGTCACTAACTGCTGTTTCCGACTCCAATGTGGAGAACACCGGAAATTCTGGTGAAATTAATTGCCAGCACTTGCTACGACTCGAGGATGGGGCGGAGATTATGAGAGGGAGGACCCGTTGGAGACCCAAGGATGCCAAAAGTCTCGGTAACGTGGATCAAATTTCAGCTGTAAGAGCATAGAAATCCAGTCTCTGAATCATGGCTGGCAGAGTGAAGCAGCACTAGTAGATAATCTCATTGCTGTGTGTATGTCTATCGAGTATTTTGTCGGATTTATATACATACCTATATTCCTTCTGATTAGTTTCCTTTACAAAAAAGGAGGCTGTAAGTAGACTTGTCTAAGACTTGGGTTTTCGGCTCGGCTTGTCGGTAGGGTTCGATTGAGCCAGGCCACTGACTAGGATTTTGTGAATTAGGGCTCATGGCCTAACCAGCAAGCGCTTTGCATGAAAGTGGTTATGCTTTTGAAAGTTGATAGCCATGTCAAATGGCTCCCTACATTAAGGGTTTTTTCACCGGTTACAGTGTGGCTAGTTTAGGATTAATTTGGCAGGATTTGCATATTTTTTCCGTTTTTACCTTTAAACTGAATTTGCTTTTTTATTTTTGTTTTCGTTTAGGTTTTGAAATAATGTCCTTGTAATGATTGCAAAGACGATTACAGCGGGGACTAGCCAAGACGAAAATAAGAGAGCTGAAAGCTTAATAAACATAAGTTAAATTAAGTATCAGTGTGTTTTTTAAATATAATCTTCGGTGTCTTGTCTAATAAATTAATAATTGTTTCTCTTCATTAGGTAGGTTCCTTTGCTGAAAGGCTCAAAACGAATCTGAAATGCTTAAAAACCTACTAAAATTTATTATATTAGTGGAAGAAGATTTTTTATATATAAAATATGTATTTTAAAATATTTTAAAAATTATTTAGGTTGAATGGTAAAAATGAATAAGTAAAATATATTGGACATAAATTTAAAACTAAACTGAAAAGTACTTTTGACCCTAAAAGCTACCTATTTAACATTACTTTTAGAATCTTATACTAGTGTATTAAAAGGGGGGGGGGGTAAGTACACTATTTCGGCATATAAGAAAATAAGAATTTTTTTAACATTTCCTATCTAGGTAGGGGAAGAAGAATTTTGTTAACGAGTATTGAACCTACAACTTAGACGAGAGTTATTTTAGCATCTTATCTTATATTAGCGCATTGAAAGGAGATGTGTACACTATTTTGGCATGTAAGAAATAAGAAAATTTCATTTGTTTTTTTAGCAATTCCTATCTAATGGAGGGGAAGAAGAATTTTGCTCATAATGAGTATTGAACCTACAACCTAAATGAAAATGTGTTAACTGAAATCTTTTAACCACTGTTCTAAAATGTTTAACCAATATGATTTTCTATCGAGGTATCAAAGTTGGTTCATTCATAATGAACTTCTAATTTATTCATTAAAAAAACATGGGGATTATTTGGTTCAACAAATATTACCAGCCCTGTCACCAACAAGTGACATGTAGAATATTCACATTGCTCATCTACTGAATGGGGGAAAAACTACTTAAAGCAGTCACAACTAGTTTGAAACTTTCTCCAGGGTAAAGGAAAATTAGGCCACATAGTGGGCAATGCGAAAATCCACAAAGGTATTGGAAGATAAATCAATTAATTCAGTGAAATTATTTTTTATAATGTCAATATTATATATTGTTTTAAAAGTTTACTAAAGAGTACCTTAAAGATACAATATTGAAGTTATTTTATGATGGCAAAGAACTTGTAATAAGAATTTGTCTCTTAATATTTTTTTAGAAAGAACTATCATTAATTGAACACTGCAATTCTTTCATCATCTACATTACAACTTTTTAAGGGTCATATCGATGAAAATTGTAGACATAAAGTACTAAAAAATATTTTATGTAGTTATAAGATTAGTAATAAACAATAAAATTGAACGATAGTTAAGAAAAATCAAGATTTTCAAATAAATAAAATAGTACATGGATTCAATTTAAAAAAAAATGGAGGATGAAGATTAAAATCAAAATTTTGAAATAGTACCAACATCTTTGATATATTAAATTAACTTCTACTATACATAACATATTAAAATTTATTTTAAGTATTGATAATCAAGCACATGCACATGGAGAAAACAATCTCACATGGTTTGGCATCAATCCCTAATTATAATAGTACTTTGAGTGCTTGCATGCATGCATTCTTTCATTCTCCTTTTCTTTTTCATTAATATTATTTTGATTGCAAACACGTCTCAATTCAGTCTTCAATTAAGCATGTCTAAAAATTATAAATTTATCCAAATCTCCACTGAAATTGTCACCATTTTTATTTTAACACCCATTTAATTTATTTGTGAAATAAGTAAATACTTATAAAATAATAAAAATGAAGTTCAGTAAGATACCTAACTTTATATTAGGTTATATTTTGAAATGTCAAAATATAATTTTATTATTTCTTTAGCTTATAATTATAAAATTTTAATACCCCTTGTCAGCCCCCTCACTTCGCCCCCGGGTTTGAGTCGTGTACACGCAAATTCCGAGGGGAATATGTGATTTGAAAAATTAGAACAAATCAAATAAATTTTATTAATAAAAATGAGTTATAATTTTTGGATAAATCATTTGATTCTTCTCTTCAATAAAGTTTTGCTTCAATAATTTTTTAAGACTTAATCTTAATTGAATGATTTTGCTTTAAGGGTCATCAATCCTATCTTGAAAACAAATTTGAAAAGTTGATTGTTTGAAAATTGATTTAAAGATAGTCAAGACTTGATCTTAGATCAATAAGATTCGCTTCAATTATTATCGAGACTTGATCTCCTCTTTGTTGGTGCATCTGGATCAAAGAGTGGTTGGTCTAAAAGTCTTTAAGACTTGTTATTGGATGGATGAACCGGCTTCAAGGAAAAATTATTAGATGGTCCCTGCTCACCATATATGTAACCAATAATAACTTCCCATCTATTTTTTTCTAAGGTGAATCTTCACATCTTTCTTACGTGTAAATAAAGAAGGATAGTTATTTGGAACTTATTTTAAAATTTGTGGCTCTCTTTCACTGGGACCATAGATGACGTGGTGAGTCGGGACCATGAAATAATTTCTCTGCTTCAAGGGTTGGCAAAATTAATCTTGATAAACATGTTTTACCTTATTTTATTCAATTAAACAAGATCAAAACGTAAATTTTGACAGTTAAAGACTTATTTGTCATTGGTAGAAATGATGGGCATCTTTGTCCCCTTATTGTGGAAAAGACATATCTACACCTATGATATCAACGAAGAAATTCTTGTTGATAGGCAAAGACATCCCATACTCCTTAGAGGTTTTGCAGAGTTACGATAATTATAGTACGAGATAACTCCTACCCTATATAATACCATGAATATTATGGAGGTAACTTGATGCTTTTAAGTGGAGGTTTCTCTATGCCATGTGAAATGGTAATAAATTCATTCTTATTATTAATACAGAGGTATCTTAACTCTGTTCGACCGACCAGTAAAGAAGGCAACTCGACATCTTTAGAGAAATCTTATTGGCGGGTGGAAGCATGTCATGGTAGGAGCAACAATAAGGTATTTATCTTCTCTAGCTAAGACAAAAGCATCTATATGCTCGTAGTGAACCTATTGTAACGCCCCGATTTCCTGGTTGGTAGCTTCAAGTAAATCTGGGTGAATTCTATAGGCCAAGAATCCATTTAAATGTGTTGGGTTAAGTTTGGGTTGTTCAAGTTTGGTCTTGAGCCCATTAAGGCATAAAAGGGGTGTTTTTAAGCTATGTGAGAAAGAAGGAGGACTAGGAGAGAAATTGCCCCTAAACTATTTTGAAAGCTGATTTTCATTAAAAGAGGATGATGTAAAGGTGCAGACTCATCTTTTTCTTCATCATTATTTGTCTTATTAATACTATTATTCTTCTTCTCATTTCTTTATCTTATATAAGCTAACAAAGGAAGCATCTTTATATTCTAATCTTCCTAGTCCGAAGTTGTGAAGGTAAGCTTCAAAATCTTCTCTTCTAGAGATTCAAATCAAGCTCTCAACCTTAGAGTTTGGCCACGGTGATCGTAGTTGGGTTTAAGGAGGGTTTTGTGTTTTAGAGCTTGTGAGTGGCTATAAAACATTCCTAGACCTTAAGAATCATATTCCTAATGTTTCTAAGCCCTTAAGTGAGTTAATAACTCATTTCCATTACTTGTGATTAGTGAAAGAAGTGGGAGAGAGCTCCAAGGGAAGAGGTGAGGAGAAACTTGCTCTTGGATAGTTGAAAGTGTTTTTCTTAACCCCAGTAGAAAGGCAACACATTTCCAACCCTTCTCTACCACTTGTAGATCAACATGTGTATTTTGTTTTTTGTTTTGTGTGTATGAGTCATTGTGTACACTTTGGGGGTTTAAATAATGAAAACAGGGGTTTAGTTTTATTCATGCTTAAAGTAATGACTTTTTATGATCCTTTAACCATATATAAGCTTTAAACATCATTTGGGGGCTTTAGGATAACTTTAGGAGTTATTTGGGAAGGTTTTCATGAGAGAAAATAGAGTTTCTAGGTTAATGGTATCGGTAATATAAGAACAATATCGACACTGCTTGTTATAAGACAGCAAAATCAAATGAGTTGTGAGAAGAGTCTCGATACCTCATTAAGGAGTATCAATAGTTCTTGTATAGTATTGATGCTAGGGGACCCAAATCGAATTCCAATATACAATTTTGGTATCAGTACTCAAGGGAGTATTGATACTGAGGGTGGAGTATCGGTACTCTCAGTAGGAGTATCGATAATGAGGTATTTTTTTAAAACATCAAAGTCAATGTTAGTATCAATACTAATGGGAGTACCTATATAGAGGAAGGTGAGTATTGATACTCCCGGGTAAGTATCAGTACTGAGATTAATTTTCAAACATCGAAGGAAAATTTGGTACCGATATCCAGGGGAGTATCAATACCACTGGAAGGGGAGTACCGATACCCAAGAGGGAGTATCAGTACTATTGTGAATTGTTGGGCAGTAAGGCTAGTTTGAATTAGAGAGAAGATGTTGTGATTTTATTAAAAGGGGACACTCTACCATAAGAATACAAGTGGTAACCTTAATAATTGTGTGATAACATAAGGTCTTAATGAGACATGATTCCATAAGGCTTATGTTTTTTTTATTCTCGGGAAACGATGAGGACACCCGATTTACTTAATTGACGGTAATGTGGTATCACAAGGATTATTCGAATATATCCAATCAAGTGTTGGTTCACTTTAAGTGGTAGTTGGATGTTACGCCGATGCTATGTGACCCAGACAAATCCCAAGTACTCTAGAAGAGTAGACTAGCCGAGTGACCTCTGATGCTATGTGACCCAGACTCAGCTCGAAGTATGGGAGGCACTGATTTTTGGTGACCCATGTATCGGCCTAAGGTTTTTAAGTAAGAAAAGAGGGGTGTGAGTTCCGTGATGCTAAGTGA